TCGTAAAACGTGGCGAGGCCGGAGTCTGCCACTGGCAGTTACTAAACCGGGCCCTTTGGAGGGCGAGGCGTTAAAAACAGCCCCGTGTGCCTCATTTCAGTGAGTAACTCGTGTAAGAAGTGGATCGCTTCCATTGTTTCTACTAAGCAGAAAACACGCCAATAATTAACAGGTGAGTAACTCGTGTAAGAAGTGGATCGCTTCCATTGTTTCTACTAAGCAGAAAACACGCCAATAATTAACAGGTTAATGCGAACTGAGATTGTTTAAATCCAGGAATATTTTTAGGACATTGCCCCTTGGGGAAATAAAGGGAGTGTGCTAATAGTGAAAAGTATGTGTTTATATTTGGAGTAACAACAATACAGAAATTAAAGAGAATTAAGACAGACATCAAAAGTCCCCATCCCATTTCTGTTATTAACTCCTCCATTTCACATTACCGTGCAGCATTTCTGAGCATAAGCAGTCCAAGTTTTAAAATGTTCTTCCTTTTGAAGACCTGACATTTAAAATGGATGGATTTCTGAGCCTTTCTATTCGAACTATCCAATCCAGCTAACAGGTAAAGTGCTGCACAAAGGATAATTGTGCTCCATTTATAAATATTGTTTGCTTAAGCAACCCCCAAAAGAAGGCCAAAATATTTAAACATTCACATTTCTGCTAGTCCCAGTGATGTGCTACTGTTGTTCTCAATGCATGCATGATGTCCTGGGACTAAATTACGAGGTTTTAATTTTAAACAAGTTTTTAAAAGGTTGTTTGGCTTAAAAATGTCCTATGTGATTCGAACACGTTGAAAGGAAAAAATGACTTACACTTTTCTTCTGAAATTGGACTATTATTCTCAGCTTCCAAAATGAATGGAAAGTTTGTTACTGCATAGGGAGTGTGCTTTTAAAATAGCATTATTTTTTTGAGTGTTTTCAGATGCAATTTGCATTGTTTTGAATGAACTTACTGAGTATAGACAGAGTAGTTGCATAGATTTGATTAGTTAAGGAAGATGTCCATTTTGGTTGTGGTTTGGGAATGTAGAGTAGAGAACCGTTAAACAGCAAAGGCAATAAAAACACTGATAAAATCAGATCACCCACCCTTCGTTACAGTACCCTAGATCTCAGCAGTCTTAATAGGAAGATTTTCTTTTTAAGTGGTTGTTAACTTACTGTTTAGTTAATTTCTGTAAGTTATCCACCACTTAATTTTGAATATACATATACAACTTATTATTTCTGCTTTGGTTATCTGTGAGCTGAAACATATTTGTGTACAGTTCTATTATTTACATGAAATCTGAAGGGGTCAAATTAGTTTACAAAGCAGATTGTTTATTTTTCCAATAGTGAATCTTTTTTTTTTGAACTTTTGTAAAACTGATTGTGAATCCACATCAAAAGTCTTAAAATCAAACCCAAATCTTTCCAACATTGTAAATTATGGACAAGTGTACTCTGGGAAGATAATACTTTTGCATTGAGTTCTGATAAACAGTAAAGCATCAACATATTTCTCAATTTAGGATCTTAGGTTGGCTATCAAAAATAAGTAAATTCTGCTTTAGTTAATTATTTTCTCCCTTGGTTTTTTCATTGTAAAACAATTCACCTTTTAAAAGCCCGAAAAAGATAAACAGAACGGCGCATGCAGCAAGTACGATACCATCTCTGCACCACACAGAGAAGAATACATTAAGCTTTGCTCCATGTGCAAGATTCTGCCATTAAAGATCTACAAGAATGAAGACGATGTGTCATTCCCCCCTTCGACTTTCAGATATCACAGCAACGGAAGGGTTAACTCCAGGAAAATTAATTATACACAATCCCAGAACAATAGTAGTTGGGAGAGGGGAGGAGGGGTGAATGGAATAGTGGTGGAAGCCTGTTAGATGCCGTGAGGAAGACTCCCATTGACTACAGCATGGCCAGCATTTCACCCGACGCGTGGATTTCCGTAGTGCAGGGCCAATACACCAGGTATACCCAAGGTTAATTTTACAATGAAGCAAACGTGTTACAACTGACACCTGTATTTCCTAAGTTACATCCAGAAGAGCTGCTCTACAAGAAAATCTCCCAAACTAGTTTCTTGTGAAAGAGAACTTTAAGAATTTAGATTGCTTACTTGCCAGATTTCTCTGCTTTGGAATAAAATAAGGACTTTATTAGAAGTAATATCCAGTTTTCAGCTTTCATGAGTGGGAATGTGGCCCCTTTTCCAAAAATGAAATGATCTGAAGCCAAAGTTGTTTCCATGAAACAGATTCCATGATACAGACTGATTTTTTTGGTTCTGGCAGTTTAGGATTTCTGTGTGCTGGATGAAATCGTGTCAGAGAATTTAAGTATCTTACAGGATTTTAGTTTAATTCATTTAATCTTTTCTTCCCAACAGCTCAACATTCTCTACTTTGGAGGCTCTTTCTTTTCCTTTTGTCGATAAAGATGAGAAAAAAGTGAATATTGGAGGATTTTCATTTTATCTTTTTTGGTGTGCTCTGTCTCCTTTTCATAGATGGAGGTAAACTAGAACAAGTAAAACGTAAGTAGACTTCAAACAAAGCTGTCACATTCACCCGAATTTGACATTTTCCTTCTATTTGACAGATGTGGTTCAGAAAAGATCTTCAAACAAGAATGTCCTAAACTGTGGAACTGTGTTCAAAAACCTTCTAACATTCTTCCTCCTTCTGTTCCTACATTTAGTAGAATCAGGTCACACCCACATTTGGGGCACATTTTCCTGAAGCTGTACAGGTTTCATTGCATCATAAAGAACATAACACATCAATTTTAGAATCTGTTTTATTTCAAATATCCTGAATCGAGAGAGTGCTTAATTCCATTTTAGTGACCTCTGTAAACATCTGACGGATTATCTGGATTTTATCCCATGTGTAAGACTGTTGTGCTGAGGTTTTCAGCCAGTGTAAAGTTCGTCCAAGACTGCTCTGTTGTGTTCCAAAAACAACCTCATATGAACTGGATTAGAGACATCCTTTGAGAAAATTAAGAGTCTAAGCACTGTCAGAAACTTGATGGGAAGAATTGAAAAGAATACAAACAAAACAAAGGGAATATTTCTACAAAGCCTGTAATCTGTGGGAGATGTTAACACATTTCCAAAAGCATGGCAAGGAGGAATAACTGCCCAAATAAGTCTAGGAGTTATTGACTGCTACAGCCTTGTTACTAGCTCTCTGGAATGCTCTCCTCACCTGCACAGGCTGGGTTTTGGCCACCACCTTACAAAAGACATTGTTTCCCCTTGAGAAGTAGTTAAAATTTTCAGCCTCAGTATCAGCACCTTCTGCTTCTAAGGAGGTAGATCCCCCCCAAAAAAAAAAAAAGAAAAAAAAAGAGAGTGAGTTCCAAAAAGGCCACCTTCTCCACTGAACTTACTCACAAGAAAACAATGTGCAGGTATCCCTGTTCAAAGAAAGCACAGTGTGAGAAATTATCAAAGTCCACTTCAGCCGTCTGCTTTTTCAGATCCTGCATTTCATTTGTCATGCTTTTGTGTGAAGTGAAAGCAGATCACTTCACCGTTGCAACTAATAATCCCTACCTCTTGCTACCTTCTTTTAGCCCAGTAAATGTGAAGAATGTCCCTTGATTGGATTATCACTTGGAAGACAGGTATTTTGTTTGATACCCTGAAGTATCATCTATACTGAGGGTGATGAATTAAGCTGAATTTGGACATCGTTAAGAAAACAGGAAGGACTTCTCTCATGGAAACACATGAGAAACACCCTTTTATTGAAGAGATTTGAGTTTTCAATGTGAAACCATAATGTGACAGGGAGAGACAGGGCAGTAATGCCCGATAGGTAGATGGATATCTGCAAAACTGCATCTGCAAGATTAGAAGTGCTTAATGAACAGAAAGATCTTAAAATATTTTGAATGCTGATGCATATGTAAGTCAGCACAAATTGTTCTGAAATACTAGGACAAACTTCTTTTTTATTAGGTTGTTAAAATACGGAGACACTGAACGTGCAGTGTAAATACAGTGCATTTATCTTCCTTCTGCAGTCCCCTTGTTCAAAATCTCTCTGCTGTACAGCCTGGGATTTTCCTGAGTTAGCCAATTGCTTTGGTTTTGCAGTGAAAAGGTTTTGTTTCCTGTAAACCTGTCTGAGCAATCAAGCGCTTTAGTTTTGTTACCTAAATGGGACCTTAGCCTGTGTTTTTGCAGGTGAAAGGATAAACTCACCCTGTATGAAAGCCATTTTGTCAGCTATTTCAGGAGCTGCAATTTTGGAAAGATGGGAGGCCATGTCATTTATTTTGGTTTGGGAGGTTAGAAACAACAGCACGTGAAATTAAGGGCATTTCTGTTGTGTGATTCTCCAGGGGAAGAAAAAATATTTTACAGAAAACACTGCACACCTAAAAACACTTCGTAAGCATGGCATGGGAACATTCATTCATAGCTCTTTCAATTCTTTACTGTTTTACAGATTCAGATACGTACTGTGTGTTTCAAGATAAGAAGTATCGTGTAGGAGAAAGATGGCATCCTTATCTAGAACCCTATGGCCTCGTTTACTGCGTTAATTGTCTTTGCTCAGAGGTAGGACTGCTGAGTTATTGATCCTACAATTTCTTCTACTTGCTTAATTGACTAGAATCCTTTATGTTGTATCTGCAATTTGACAAAGCCCAAACCTGTTTTCACTAGCAGGTCCTGATCATGCTGCAGGAAATAGAGGCAGGTGATCCTAGCGAAGGGAAAACATTAACAGAGAAGGCCAATACTGGCAAAAAATACTTGCATGGGGTAGACAAAAGAGCTCCTTAACTAGCGAGAAGCTTTGTCAATGCTGAGCGTTACATCTTGAATAATTGGACCCCACTGCTAAATATAATCCTTGCAGTTCCATCAATATGGACGATTATGCTGAACCTGAATTTGGTAGTGTTTTGGTCTATGTACAATGCCCACATCTTCAGAGGCATTTCCACAGTCAAAGCATCTGCTGCCCTAAAGTGCTGAAGGAACAGGCTTGGATATCACTGTGTGTAAGAACCTCTGGAAGAAGAATGAGATGATGAAAAATGAGAACAGGGTATGGGGAGCAGAGAGAACTGGGTAGGACGTGAAAGGACAGGTCCTTGGCTACCATCAGCTGATGCCCGATACGAAGACACAGCAGTCATAGATCCCCTAAGTATGTCATGTACAGCTGCGGGGGGGGGCAGGGAAATGAGGGCAGACTATGTCCCTTGGAGTACTTTAAAATGACTAAACAATAAGGGATCTTAATCACTAACACATGAGACACTCCAGATGCTGAGTTTTGTCTGCTGTATTTAATGCAGAATAAAGTGTTCTTGGCTATTTCCCCCCCTGCAAGTGTAAAATATCAGGCCCCTGTGCAGCATTTGCTTTGAGGGATCTGCTACTACAATTTAGTGCAGAGATGCGCAAACAGTAGTCCTACAAGCCTGGCTGCATCTCAGATCTGTGCAGCAGAATGCATCTGTAAGAGAAAAAGCAATGTAGTAGGAAGAAAAGGAAAAGTCCCTGGTTATAGCAAAAAGGAGTTTCCACTCACTTTTGCTGATCTATATGCAAAGTTGAAAACTACGTCAGAGTTCGTGTGTGGTAAAACACTCATTAAATTGCTGGAAGGCTGTGTCTTGGGTGGGGATGAAATTCATTGGAAACCCTAGAGATCTGGATACAAATCATTGCTCAATGATTTTTAGGAAGATGTTAGACAGTCTGGAGGGATGGGAAAGTGCATGGAATGTGCCTCTAGAGAACAGCACTGCTGTGATCCAGGCATACCCACACGCTGTGAGGCTCCAACAAACGGAGTATATTTTATTTCTTTCCTTCACACATGGGCATGGAAGACCAGAGTGACAGTTCAGGGCAACAAGGTTAGTAAAGAAGGAAACTGCTTGCGGTTAATTATCAGTACATGCAGCTCAGAAGTGGTTCTGGACTCTACTTCCTTGTTTGCTCTGTTTTACCTTTGTTGTACTGTCAGGGTGCAAAATGTAACTTAGGGTTATTTCAGCAGTGGGGATGCTGAGGGATGTCTGGGATGTGACTCTTGTTGACTGGAAGGAAGACGCCAAATAACAACTGCAGCATCCAGCCATTCATTTGAGCTTTGTCCTGGCCAAAAGAAATGCCCTCAGAACACTGACCTACAGTAAAAGCTCCAGATCATCAGGAAACTCTCAATAATTTATAATTTTAACAAAATTAAGGTTAGATAAAGCATTAGAAAACATGCCATGACGTAGCACAAGCACAGACCTTAAACTAAATATTACAACATAAAAAATGAAACTTAAGTGTGCCACAGACAGCAAATAGGAGAGACCTAAGTGTAACCCACCTATGATTCCCTGGCAGTAAATCAGTTAGTTAGGCAAAGGATGTGTACAGAGTCTGAAGCAGCAACCTAGTCCCTCACACTGCAGAGAAAAGCAAAAAAATCCCCAGGGGTCTTCATCACCAGTGCGAGCAAAATTTCTTTGCTGGCCTCAGGTATCATGATGCATATGATCTCTGCTCAAAACAAGTCATATCAGCCAGGCAACACACCGAGATCTCTGCTCCATCTCTAAACAACAGTCTGTCCGTCCATCCCCCCAAACACACACTTCTGATGTTTAAGAAAAAGGCGAGACAAACTAACTAACTAAACAGAGGCCAAATTACTCAGCCTGGGATTAAAAAAAAAAAAAGCCTTTGTGTTTTTGTGTGTATGTAGTATTGTATTTTTACAAGTTATAACTGACACACTTAAACCAGAATAAAACTAAACATAATTCAGTGTTCTCACCCTGTTCCCCCTTTCTTTTACAACCCCTTCTCCCCCCCAGAATACACAGCAGAGACTGTTGACTGTTACTGTTAGGTACACTGGAGCACTCACAATTTGTCAGATCATTATTTTACTCTCTAAAATACAGCAGCTTTTTGCTTGTGTTCCTAGTCAGATCTGCAGACTTCAGGGGCTAAAATGAATGCTCTCCACACTTAGCACTGATAACACAGCTCGGGAAGAGAGATGCATTGTCACTCTTCGGGTATCTGATGCAGAAATGCTAACCGTGGCCCTAACTCACAGAGGCCTACAGGAGCTTAAGTCCTACTCTAGTCAGTAGGGCTTGGTCTCCCAAATATCACTGTGAATCTAAGCATAAGATCAGTCTTACCAAGCACAAGATCTGTCTAGTCCTGTCCTGCTGCAAACAGTGGAGTACTGAGGAGCAAAGTAGGCCTGCAGAATTTTTATCACAGCTGGTCATGCACAGAAAGTAAACATTCACCTCAGGAGATTTCACAGGACTAATAATTAAAAAGGGAGTGAGGCCATGGAACAGGTCAAGCAGGGAACATGGAGCCAGGCCAGCAGGCAGTGCCAGCCTTTCTTCTGCGGTAGTGCTTTACAGGCTCTCAGATGATGGTCTACTGGGCAAGGAGCTGTGCAGAGCAGTGATAGTCCCTATCCTGCAAAGAATCTACAGCCTAAAATTTGCTCCTCCTCTATAAAATCAGTATATTTAATTTCAATCATCATTGGAAACAGATGGTGATACCGTTTTTAGTGTCTCTTTCCAAAGCAGATGCACAAATGTAGTTCGTGGGTAGTAATGATCTAACAGTATGATTCCAGCCTGTGGTCTGCAGATATTTAGGAATCAATGGACTATTTTGAAAGAGATGGCTAGAAAAGTCTATACATATGCTATCTAAGGAAGTCTGCACCTCCGCTGGAAACATTGCAGTGCTCCAGAAGGCATATGAAAATGAAGTGGGTTTATTCCTGACACCACCTAAAACTACAGTCATAGTACAGTATCAGTGTTCATACTGAAAGATCTTTCTTGCTATAAGCATGAGCAACTCAGAGCTAAATTAGGAGGATAAATTATAGATGGGAAATGGGAATTTGAAATGGATAGTATTTTCTGGTTACAGACAGTGGAGAATGAAAATTCCCTGTGTTTTAATCATAAATCAAACTTAGATGTGGTCAAATAGAATATTATGTTAATGACATGAATAATGAACACTATTCCCAAGACTGGCTCGTATTTCTTAGAAAAATGGCTACTTACCAACTGGTGTTTTTTGTCTACTGGGGAACGCATAAAACAAAAACAAAAGACTCTCCACAGTTTTCAGGAACAATTACAGACGCTATTGTCTCTTGTGGTCTTGAACTAACCCTCTGTAGGGGATATCTCAGAGACCTACCATTCATTATCTGTGTCTTAGTTTTGGAAATGCAATTCCTAAGCATAATCTGCTCAAAAGAAAGATTGTTGCAATCCATTTTTAGGCACTTCCTCTGATTTTAAGGTTTGTATGGATTTCTGCTACATTCTGACCTCCAGCATAAATTCAGAGGCAGTGAAAGTAGTCTGGGCTTACCCTGGTGTGAGAAATCAGAATGTTGTAAAAAGGCATTTGTTTTTAAAATATCTAGATGCAGAATAGAGAACATGGAAATTGGTAAGACAGACCATTTCATTAAAGTATTGTATTATGTTCCACCTGCAGAATGGAAATGTATTGTGCAGCAGAATAAGATGCCCAAGTCTACACTGTCCTTCCCCTGTGCATGTACCACAGCTGTGCTGCCCACGATGCCCAGGTAATTCCTATTAATGACATACAGTCCTGAAATAGTCATTTAATATGCTGAGTAACAGCAAAATTAAATGTCTGTGCTGGAAAACTTCTGTGAAGTAAACATCCTTCTATATCCATTTAGGTCATGAGAGGATTGTCCTACAGTAAGTTACAGTATTTCCTATGGTGGTTTCTTTTTAGGAAATCAGAAGTATAGATTTGGGAAGGGATCAGGTACCAAGTCCAGTCCCCTGCAATCCAGGCAGAAGGTAGCAGAAGTTTCACTGATGAAGTCCATGGACTATCCGCTCCCCACTCCTTCCCTTACCTCTAAACTCCATCACAATAAAACCCCATCCCACAAACTTCATGGGTTTCTGCTTTTGGTGCTTTTCATAAGAGCAGGCTAAAATACGTAGTTATTTGCAATGGTTCTCTGTTAACAAGCAATTCAAAATTGCTGTGGCAAATGTGCATTTGTATAGTATCACTGTACAACCAGTCTGGTAACATTTGCCTTTCACATCTCAAATCCAGGCATAGCTTCATAATTAGTAGAGACTGTTGTAAATCATAGAAGCAGTGCTGTAGAAGTTTATGACTATATAAATCCAATTGGATACTGTATAGTAAATTCCTCCAGACTGTACATTTATTATATGCTCATTATTAAGAGCCACTGTATGAAAGAGACTAAGCAGGATCTTTCACGAGGCTGTTACAACATTCCCGACATGGCCTAATGACTGGTAGATTTGACTGGAGCTTTTCCCTAAATCTCTGTCTTAGTGGCACCCCTCATTTCCACTTATAAAAGAGTATTCATGCAGCATCATAGAAAGGGGTTTTATTTGACTTTCTCCAGGGAGTTTCATTGTCTGAGGAAAACAGCTGTTCCCTGACCAAAACCTGTGAGCAGGAGGCAGTACGCAATGGTGGAGGGACATGAGCGCACAAGTCAGTTTGCTGTTCAGCTGGGTTTGGAGTGCATTCATTGCACTTACTGGAGAATAAATGGCACCCACCCATCAATTTTTGGTAGGATTCGTCTGTCCTGACAGTTCTGTACATCTGTCTATCAGATGTGTATATCAATAGCTGATCTAGGTATCTAGAATCCTTTTTTAATCAGTGATGAGGAAGAAGCATTTCAAGCGCATAACTCATCTGATGCCATGATGCCACTCTTGTGTCCTGGGATGAGATTCATCCCATTCAACTTTAGATCTAACACTTTGGCATCTAGTTGATGGTAGAGTTTTATCTATGATGGTCTAATACATAGGAAAGAAAGTTGGTAAGATAGTATGCTTTATTTGACCAACTAGTACTGTTAGATTAATGGTAAGATGCTGGGAACGTGAACCCCTTTTCTGTTTTCAGATCAAAAGAAGGACTGGTGTGCCAGTGTGCCCAAAACCCGGTCTGTTTTTCCAGCTAATCTAAACTTCAGTTGGCAAGGGAATCACCTAGATACCCTTTATAGCTGTTGGAAACATGCTGACCCCAGAGGGTGATTCATCCTGTTAGCCAGAATGAGAAGAATTTTTCTCTGGAGATGCCTGTCTCTCTCCACTGATTATTGAGGGAGCACAGGCAAATAGCTTACGTTAGATGCTTACTTTTTTGACAACTTAAGTTAAATGACAGAAATCCCACGCTCAGTATGTAATTGGCATTTGGGGTCAGGAACTTTTTCTTTTTTTTAATCTCTGTACAATATTTAGTGTAGAAAACATAAATACTTCTAGATTGACCGTTTTTGCTTCAAGTGCTCTTTGGCAGTGAGCTGTTTGGCTTTTTTCTGTTCATGAGGCTGTAAATATCGTGATACCTATCGAGATTTTAAAACATTCTACAATGACCTAGTAAGGAAGAATAAGGGCCGCTGTAAACTCTGAAGTCCTTCTTATCAAATTAAGTTCTTGCTATTGACAGTCTTCAGCTAGAATTTTGTACTGTGTGTTTAAACTGATAAATCCAGAAAATTATCAGAATGAGCCTTTCCTGAATTGTGATCCATTATCTTCTCTCAACTCCTCCTAGAGTCAAACTATAGTCTATCTGCTATGGTGGACCATTAAATTGCAAGCTGGGCAGCATCTCATTAAAA